AATAAATATATAAATAAATAAAAAATAAATAAAATAAAAAATGCAGAAACATAAAAAAAAAAGAATATTAAAAACAGTTGGAAGTTTTTGTTAGATTACATTTATTTATTTTCCAGTATTTGATTTCTAATTATCTTTAAAGCTGTCAGCATTTGATCAAAGATTTCTCCTTGGGCAGTTGACTATTCCCCAGAACCTTGCCTTTTGTTCTACTACCATAGAACTGCAAAACCTTTCCCATTAACTACAGGTAATTTAACTCTGCCCGATACACACCAATCCTATGGTGCCAACCTGGATCACCTCACTCTAAATAAAGTAATAATAATAATAATAAAACTCTAACAGGGACATTTGGTACTAGACTGGTTATGCTGCTCCCTGATTAAAAAAATAAAATAAAATGTTTCAGCTGTTACCTCAGAAATTGCCTGTTTTGATGTTATGATTGTGACTCAGGATTTTGTGGGCAGTTTTTATTTAACTGCTACTGTATAAACAAAATGCTGATGTTAAGTGTTTGCAGAACAAACGTTATGGCACTTCCTTTAATATGGCAGAACATTTAAAATAAAATTTTGCTATACACTAGTTTTGAATTCATTATTGTTTTTTTTTTTTTGCGTATAAAAATGTGATTAATCACAATTAATCGGGGAATACATGAGATTAATGGCGATTAAAACTTTTAATCGTTGACCAGCCCTAAAAAAAACATTCATAAGTTTTTTTTACACCTGAAAAATGCACTTGGCACCGAACTGTGGTGGATGTTGGAAGTTCAGTTCAAGTCCATAAATAGTTCCGTCTGAAATGAATGAAAATAGTTGTTTTAATGGTTATTGAGTCAGATATATGGCGGTTAATGTTTGATTTATCTAAATGTTTTTATCCGTTACTGTGTAAATGGTGTAAAAAAAATTTGTACTTGTGAATTTTTTTTTTGGAATCCTACAACTACAAAACTTAGAGTGTAACTCTCTCTACAACTTCAAATCCAGCGTTTAAGTTTTCGTTTTGTGCATCTAGATATTTTCAGTAGTTATATTGTACAATGGAGGAGTACACTCAGTTCACAGACGGTATAATCATAGCTGACTTTGTAGAATTTAATGCAAAATAGTTGTTTTTATCACTTTAAGTTAATATATACAGGCTAGTAATTGATCTAATGTATGGACCTGATCCTCCAATATTCACACACGTGTATAACTATACTGGTAAATGGATTAATATTGCA